CTATGAGTCGGAATCGACTCCACGGCACTTAACAACAACAACAACAATGATCATAATCAATTTGACAGACACACAACAGCAACGGAAACAGATGTCATTTTTGGAGCACATCCAAAGATAAGTGACCCCGGACAGAAAGGCCTGCTACCTGATAAAAAGAAAGGCTAGAGAAATTACGGTGTTCTGGTGTGGTGCTATAGGATAAACACTGGACTACAAGGTCAGTTTGAGCTGCAAGGTCAGGTGTTCAAACTCACCAGCTGCTCCTTGGAAACACTATTCATGGTTCCTATGAGTCGGAACCGACTCAACAGCACTTAACAACAACAATAACAGAGAAACTACATATGTTCAGCTTGTAAATGAGAAGCTAGGTGGATCCTGAAAGTTGCCTTCAGGTGAGAAGTGAATGGTGGTGGTGGTGGTTATGTGCCGTGGAGTTGGTGCCAACTCATAGCAATCCTGCATAGGGTTTCCGAGGCTGTATCTTTATGGGAGCAGAAAGCCTCATCTTTCTCCCGCAGAACAGCTGGTAGTTTTGAACTGTTGACCTTAAGGCTAGCAGGCTGACTCATAACCACCATGCTACCAGAGAATAAATAGGGTGGTGTTTAGACAAATAGATAAAAGTTTCAGGAAGACGGCTGAGGGTCCTTACAACTAATGCTGCTCAAAAATAATAGGACCTCAATGTAAAGCTAATGTTCTCCCATGTAAACTATGACATAATTCACAATAAAACACTAATAGTAATAATAGGACCTCCTTGTGAAGAACAAAGCAATCATTGACAGGGTCCTGGAGGGCTTCTCTAGGGATGTTGCTGTTGGAATTCCAATGGGGAAGTTCCCAGAGCTTCCACTCTGAATGCTTATTTGTCTCAGTCCATAGCTTTTCCTTCTTTATTTTTTCTAGCCTCCACTGTGCCTCTAAATGCGTCATCTATCCTCTTTCTGATGTGGTCGGGGCAGGAGTGGACATATGAGCACATTGAGTATGTAGTCCATGTCCTCAAATAGCCTCAGCAGTCTGGAGTTCCTTGGTAACGGAAGTGCTGGGAAAATGGGGCTGTTCTATCAAATTTTTGCTTAATAAAACCTCATCCACTGAGGGCAATGAGAGCTCCAATGCACATCTCCCTCCCTGGCGTCAGGTGACCCCACAGGCCCGGCATGGATTTTATTGCATTCTTTAGCACTCTGCTGAGACTGTGACTGTGTTTGCCTTCACGTCATCTAGACCTAGTGAATAACAAGCCATGTTCCTGCCTGCTTCTCCCTGGAAACAAGTCCCCAGCCTTTGCTTTTGCAAAACCCTCCAATCAGTGGAATGGGGCAGACAGGTGGAACCCTGCCTGTGGTCACTTTGGTAAGCTCATCCTGCTCTGTAGAAAACACCACGAGGCAGAGCTGTGACAATCAGCAAGCTGCCTTTGAGAACAAATCTCAAAGGTGGGGATGGGGCATGGAGGGGCAGGTGTCAAGGGTATTCCATTGTTTGGTTGATTGCCAACCGACTACGGAGCCTGAATTGACTGAAGCTTGACCACAGTAAGAGCACTCTCCGTCATGAAGCACATCAGAGTTTGCAAATTGCCTTCACATGTAGATTGTTACACAGGCCACAAATAAAAAGTAGTATCATATGTAATCATTGCAATGTAATAATGAGTGTAAAACCAATGTTCTCCCATGTAAACTATCACTCAATTCACAATAAAAACTTTTTTAAAAAGTAATATATTATTTTATAGTCATTGGTCTTCATACAAAATCTTCATGGCATCTCTGGGACCCCATAATGTGTGTGGGCAT